TTGTCCCATGGTTTTCGGCGCACTCATTGTCTCAGCGGTGAGCGCGATGCCATGGCGTTGTCGACTCTCTTACCGGGCAGGAGGATGGACACCCTGGGAATCCCCCGCGTTTAGTTGCATGTCTGGTTCCCCAGGCACGCCACCAGACCGCTGAACTACGGGAACCCCGTATTGTATTACCAGTGCTCGTGAGATAGCATAGTATGATCTGAGAGATGCAGAGAGATGATCGGACATAAAGACATGCATCGAGAGAGAGTGATATATATGTAAGTGCATTTTACCAGACGACGTTGCAGGGGGAGGGAAGCCAATAGGCTTAAGCTAGATATCGAATGTTGTGCAGGGATTCGGTCCGAGTTACTGCTCTGACTTGATGTGACATTTGCCCCGCTCCCGCCCCCCCCCCCCCCCCCCCCCACACACACACGTGAGGAAAATCATGGTTACGGCCTTCCCGGAACCGAACCAGACGTAACCTGGCCGAACCGAACTGGAGCCAGTGGTGGATCCTGGATTTGGCTAAGGGAACACCCAAATTTGCAGGGATCCCCGCGGATATTGGCGCACTCGCCTCGTTGGCAGTCTCCCGTCCCCAGCCCGAAAAAGGCTTGTGACAAAGCGACAACGAGACATTCACGAAGGATGCGGAGAGCGCAGCGGCTGCAGCCATTGGCAATGAATACGTTGCCGGATACTAGATATTGTTGCGTGGTGTGCACTAGTGCGCATTAGGGTGCCGGTAGCGCAGTGGCTACGCGTCTGCGTTAACCAGTGCGGGTCTGGGAAACCAGAGATAAGGGGTTCGATTCCCCGCGGTGCCCGCCCTTCCTGCCAGGGTGAGAGGCAAGCGACGCCATATAGCCTCAGCAGCTGAGTGCGTCGTAAAGCCCCAATATCAAACGCACAATACACTAGTTCGCCTTACTAGACAAATCACCGGACTTTTTCATGCTGATAGCAATTATCACAGCAAATATGACATTTTTCTCACCTCACGGGTGAGGACGTTTCAAACCACATCAGAAATGCGTATACCCCTCCAAGGCAACGTACAGGGCCCCGGAAAGAGTGTGGAGCCCTCCGAGCAATTGGGCAGCGCTCGAGACCAACGTGGAGAACCCTGAGTACTCGAGAGTGCCCCCGAGCGGCTAACAGATGGGCCCTCCGCAACAGCGTAATTTCCTTCCGATCTCATCAGAAAAACCAAAGACCTATGTGGAGGGTCCGGTTAATTACTAGATAGGAATGGATCCAATCAATGGTGTAGTCTCCCCAAACATAACATTAGAAACCAAAGACCACTGTGGGCGACTCCTGGTTGATCAAGACTACCGCATCACGCCAGCACATGCCTCTCCCCCCCCCCCCCCCCTCCCCTAGTGTCGTTGGGCCCTCGGGGCTAAAAGGAAGAAACCAACCCAGTAATTTTGGGTAGTTTAAGACGTCTGCAAGACTTCTAGAATCACTAAAAGAGGGTTTCGAGGTATCAAAATGTGATTCTGAACTAAAAAGGTAGCCTGCTTCCAACATCAGGTCTCCTTAGCGGTGAATTATGTGCGGGGCCCCTTACGTTTTCTGAAAGGACCCCCCGGTAACTCGATTCGGTCCCCTCCTGGGTGAAAACTCGGCGCGTCACAGGTTAACAAATGGACTCCCTGTTGAGTGGGCAAGGCCCTGTGAACAAACAGGAAGAACCCAGACACGTTGTGAAGAGCTCCTAAGCAATCGGGAGTGCCTTGGCAGATGAACCTATAGGGCACCCAGCAAACAGCGTGTAAGGTCTTCTGAGCAAGGCCTATGCGGCGACAGGGCGGAGCCTTCGGAGCCAAGGGGAATAATCCGCTGAGGGCCTCTGGGCGACCGACAGATTAACATAAAGGTTATGGGGCCCTCGGTAACGGCATAGTGCCCCCTCTCCGGCCGGCCTAGCTGCGTCCAAATGGGCCCATTTAATCTTTTGGGCCGAGGACCATTGTGAAGGGCCCTTGAGTGACCAAGAGGGCACAAGCAAGTGGACGTAAAGGGCTCTGGCAATAGTGCAAGGCTGCCAAAGACTCCGATGGTCCATAAAACTATTCCCAAATGCGGCGTTTTGCTGCTCATGCGTCATTCATCTTCATTTGGGGCCTTTCTGGTCACCTAGAAAGCCAAAGACGTCAAATTTCTGCTCTGTGTGTGCAACTTGACCCGTTTGGCCGCTTTTTACGCACGCATGCACGGTGGATTTGTATTTCTGGTGCATTTTTAGGGATTTTTAGTTTAGATCGTGTGTAAACTGCCGTCAGTGATGAGCCGCGTTGATCTGACGCAGGAAAGAGCGCGTCGGAGCGCCGGAGCTTCCTTTTTCTGCGCCGGGAGGTTCCCGTGCGGCTGGCCAACATCATGCGGGAGATCCAGCTGCTGCCAGACAGCCTCCTGCAGCAGCCATCCTGCCGTCAGGTCGCCGATTGGTACATGCAGAGTTTTAATGACATCCTGGTGTACGAGGCAGCGGACCCGCAAGGCTCTGCAGTGCTGGATGAGTAAGTCGGGATCTGTGCTCCTGAAACTTCAGCTCGAGTGGTTGTTCGGTAAATACATATTTTCGTAGTGAATATGACTTCTTTTGGGCTGTTTATTTCATCTTAATATGCTGCTTACCTATAGTTTTCCGAGGGCAGATGCCTATTTGCTTGTTTAGTTTCATGACTATGCAATTTTGGACGTTTCATGTACTTCCTGCATGACATGAAACATGTGACAGGTCACCACCTGTCTTTTGTAAACAGCCACAAGTTAAGGGCACGGGAAACACTTCCAGTGCGGGGCCAATTACAATTTTTGACTATTATTTCGCAGTCAGTGCTTCCGGGGCCAGCGCCTAATTTTCAAGCAGACATGGGTCTCGGGCAGTCCTCCCCAGGCTCCCGCGTCCCCGTCACAGGTGCAGTGATACGAGTTTTCATCATGGTCGCACACCCGTCCTAGTTCTCAGCATCAGAGGCCTCGTGCGTGTTCCAGTTTCTGTGAGACGCTGATCAAGATCCGGAACCGGCACAGCAGCGTGGTGCAGACCATGGCCGAGGGTGTCATCGAGCTGAAGGGCAGCACGCGCGTGGACGCGTCCACCGAGAACAACATCCAGTACTTCCTCGACCGCTTTTACATGAGCCGCATCAGCATCAGGATGCTCATCAATCAGCACTGTGAGTGTCTGGATGGGGTACCGACGGGGCGACTGAATTAACCGTCAATCATTCTGGCGACGTGGAATGGTTCGTTTCCGCAGCACGCAGTATGCGATATTATCAATTATACCCCATACGCCACGATGTGGAATGAACTGCAACGTGAACAACACCATTCATCTGTGATGCAGGGTGTCAGATGCACGTATACGGCACGTGCGCGCTCGCGTATCGTGCATAGCTTATGTGGTGTACGTCGTCAGCACGACCCACTCGCTCACTGAGATGGCAAGTGGTGCTCTGCGGCCGCCCCCCGCCCCCCCCCCCCCCCCCGCGGCCCACCGACTGACCGCCCGCCCGGCCGGCCTGCCCGGCAGCGCTTCTGTTTGGCCACCAGGGCGAGGGCAACCCCCGCAACGTGGGCTGCATCGACCCCTACTGCAACGTGGTGCACGTGATCGAGGACGCGGCGGCCAACGCGCGCTTCCTCTGCGACCGCTACTACCAGGCCTCGCCAGAGCTCCGCATCGCACAGTTCAACGGTCAGTGGCGGGGGAAGGGGGAGGGCAGACGGCAGACACGGCGGGGTCGTCGGGCTGGCGGGAGTCCGGCCGGCTTTGGCTTCGGCTTCGCTTTGTCACTGGCTTTGAATGTGTGCGTCGCATGTCGTGGGACAGTAGGCAGTATGTTGTGAGTTACTCATGTCTGTCGGTTTGGGATGTGAGTTTTTAGGTGGGATGGCCTTGCTTTTGTTGGCATTGGCGTCATTGGCAGACCCTCGTTGTTAAGGCTGACAGAGTGCCTACCTCCAGGCACATTCGGCTGTTTGCTCCGTCTTGGGATCTGCTGGGCTGATGAAGCAAATTAAATCTGCGGAAATTCGCAATTTGGCCGCGGATAGTCATTCTATAATGACTTCCGCGTGGGCGCCGCACTTTCCGTTATGGGTCGGTATGCATGGATATCTACTAGGCACGCTATTACCAAGATTCCCTTTCCGTCGATCGACGATCTGTGTAAGATTTCATTTTTTCATGCATACGTCGTCAACATCCCTTGTGCGAGTCTTCGCGAGCCGGGCATTTCTGAGACATTTGCCTGTTGTTTGTTTTTACATGTTTGGCTTGATCGTGCCATTGTATGCTTGGTGCAGCGCCCGTATGTGTCGTCGAGCCGCGGACACGCGGAATCAGGCTCGGCTTGTGCACCCCTGATGGCGACAAGTTTTCATAGCACGGACCTACTAACCAGTCACGTCCGCTTTCCATGTCGCCGCCGACAGAGGTGTTCCGGCGCAACAACAAAGACCCCGGTGAGTGGACCGCCTGCCTGTGACCCGGCTTTGTTAGCTCGGCAGCTCGGATTTTCCGCCTGTCTGCCGGTGGAATGTCGCTCCCGCGCCGTCTGCGCTCCCACCGCCGAGCCCTCTGTCAGACGATGCTCGTTGTCCGACGGTACCTGCTGTCCGACGGCACCCGCTGCCCCTGACAGTACCCGCTGTCCGACGGTGCCCGCTGTCCGACGGTACCCGCTGTCCGACGGCACCCGCTGTCCGACGGTACCCGCTGTCCGACGGTGCCCGCCGTCCGACGGTACCCGCTGTCCGACGGCACCCGCTGTCCGACGGTACCCGCTGTCCGACGGTGCCCGCCGTCCGACGGTACCCGCTGTCCGACGGTGCCCGCCGTCCGACGGTACCCGCTGTCCGACGGTGCCCGCCATCCGATGGTGCCCGCTGGCGCGTCGGCAGTCCTCTGATAGTCATCGTCGCCTTCGTGGTACCGTCTCCCGTTGCTGCGTGTAGCGATCGCGTCAGGTCTTGCGGTGTTGGCGGGAGCGTGCGTATTTGTCTGACTCTGTCACCACGCGGCCGTGGCTGGCAGCACGTGTGCCGGCAGCACATGTGTGAGCCAACAAGTGCCGGCAGCCATTCGCCGGGACATTTGTTGTGCGTCACGCAGGCATAGATGCGCTCGCGGTCTTGCGTCACTCTTCGCGAAGCTCTAACGTCCTCAAAGCTACAGTCCCCAGATGTCACGTGACCTTAGCCCTCCGCCCCCTGTCACGTGACCTTAGCCCGCTCGTTCCTTCACATTTCTACACTCGCTCGAGGTGGGAGGGTGGCAGCGCCGCGTGTGTGACGCCTGCGTGCGCCGCGCAGGAGCCAAGGAGCCGCCGATCCAGCTGGTGTACGTGCCATCCCACCTGTACCATATCCTGTTCGAGCTGCTGAAGAACGCCATGCGCGCCGTGGTGGAGCACCATCAGGAAGCGTCGGAGCTGCCGCCCATCGAGCTGCTGGTCGTCAACGGAGACGAGGACCTCGTCATCAAGGTGGGTGCGCCCGCCGCCGGGGCTGGACGGGCGGCGGCGGTCTGCGCTGCGCCTGCGGGTGGCCGCCCCACCAGCGGCTGTCGACGTCCGATTGCGTCGAGACGGTCGACAGGAGCCGGTCCCGGGATCGTGGATGGGACCGTGCCGGGACTGGGACTGTGACGGCTTGCCGTTCCCGGGCTGTCGGTGTCTGCATGTCGTCGGCGCTGCCATGGCCCTCTGTCGCGAGAGGGTCACTGGTGACCTCGCCCGGGACTTCCGGTGCCCCTCGTCGGAGGATCGCTGACATTCGTCTCTCCCGAGCCGGGCATCGGCTGCGTAAGCCGGGATCAGCAACTGTGATCTCTTGCGAAAACGGTGGCAGTTCGCAAGCCTGGTCCAGTCTTGAGCATCCTTGTGTTGTTGCCACGCCTGCAAAACGACTAAGCCAGTACTGGGCGAAGAGCCCATGTGCTGGTTTGGCTGTTGCTGACCAACTAGCGCTCACATTTCATCCAATTCAGGACGCGGTCGCCTTGCCACTAGTCTGAACTTTGTCCCCACCCGAGCCCAGCGCCCGAGGCGCCCAGTCACGGCCACAGGTCACGTAACCTTCCACCATGGCGTCACGCCGGATGACTGGTCCGGCCGGGTGGCCGGCAGCAGTCTCCAGAAATAACCGGTCTTGTCCCGCTGCTCGCTGCGGACGCCGGCGGAGGGCGCTCCGGTGTCCGGACCGCGCCCACCGCTGCATCGCGTTGCCAGCCGCACCCTGCATTGTTAACCATGGCCGGCGTCGATAAACAGCTGGCGAGGTATCACATAAACTCCAGGGGCGGTTGGCGTCGGCCCGTCTGGCCGGTGACGTCAGCGGTGGCGGCAGCGGCGCTGACGCCGGCGGCCCCCAGCCGTGCGAAGGACGGCCAGAGTCCGGGGGAGGGTGGCAGACTCGCCTCGTCACCCTCTGTTGCCGAGGGGCGACCTCGAGCGTGCACGTTTACCGAGCCTTCGGCGGACACGACCGTGGCGGTCGACCTCGACGTCCGACCCGGCGACAGTGCGGGGTCAGGGGACGCGGCCGAAGCGGACTGCGCGGCGGTCGCTGGTGTGGATGAGGAGGGGGGGTGGGGATGGGGGATAAGTGTGACCTCACCCCCTGAGCTCGTTTTCCGGGGGGACTGTCCGCTTTTGTGTGCACTGCCGGCTTTGTGTCGTGCGGACGGAACACGGCTTCTGAGATCTGCTCGCTCATCTGCAAGTGGTTACTGATGCAAGCTGCAGCGAGTTGCGTCAGCTCTTTAGCCCTCGTGGCGGTTGCATGCAGCCGCCGCTTACGTAATTAGTCTGACCTTGTCCCAAGTCCACAGCTGCGGTCGTTGCTAGAACAATCCAGTGGCGGCGTCAGTCCTATGGGGCAGTTTACGCATCGGAACGGGCCCTGGCCGTCCGGGCGGATGCATCGCTATGAATGTTATTTCTACATGGTTAAGCCTTCTAAGTATTCAGTCGGCTTTCAAAGTTTTAGATTAGGTACCCTGCTCTCTCGTCTCGACGCCACAAACACTGGCAAGGGTCAGTTTGAAGTGCGGTTGCTAATGCCAGGTATTATTCTTAAAACGTCAGTCTGTGGCCGAGGAGCTGCCGGAAGCTGGGTCTGAGCCAAGGCCTTAAGCCAAAAACCTTGACGCAGGCTGGCTCAGGTGTGCCGTGGTTCCCAGGGGTTCAGCGCGAAGTCATGTTTCTGATAGCGAAATACTTAGTGTAAACTGCAACTGAAATAGCATTACGTGATGCACGTGATATCGTGGAAATATGTAGAGGACATTCCGACAGCTGCAAATGTGAAAATCACCTTTTAAATGTTTTAATGGTTCAAAACAAACGAAGGGTTATCGCGATCTAAGGCTGTGCAACTTTTGAAAAAGGTGCTGAAGTGGGCTCTAAAGCTTGACTAGGCAGTGGCTAAAGTGCCTCAACAGGAGCGCCGCCACTGGAACAATCTTTTGTTGCACCTGTTTCACAGCGCAGCGAGCTTGGCCATCGTCAGCCCCGGTACGATCACCCGTACTGTTTTGCTCGCCCCGCCTGTTGCCAGGAAATCAACAAACACGTTCACGACCGACCGCGGCACGTTGGTGTCATGTGACAGGTCACTGTGGGCCGCCGGGCCGCTGTCGTCCTTGCACGAGAGTTTGATGAGACAGCTGGTATCTGTACTGCGATGTGGTCCAAGCATCAGGTCTTATGCAGTGGGGATTCTGGTATCGACTGGTGCCCACGTTGTCCAACACATGTTGCGATTTAGTTTATGCATTAAGCACTTCCGGAGACATGAAGTGCTGTATTTATTTTGGAGCGTTTTATGCTGCTGCGAAAAACTATAAGTCATCATTTGTTACAGTGTGTGTACCGTATGACTGCTGCGGACCAGGCGTCACGTACGTCTCGGGTCACGGACCGGTGCAGTCCTTCCCCCCCCCCCCCTCCAATCGTGAACCTTGTTACGGAGATCATCGACTCTCCCCCATGTGCCGCAGATCATTGCCCCACCCTCCTCCTCCGTGTGCCGCAGATCAGTCGTGTGCCGTAGATCAGTGACGCTCCCCGTGTGCCGCAGATCAGTGACCCTCGCCGTGTGCCGCAGATCAGTGCCCCCCCCCCCCCCCCTCCCACCTCTTCCGTGTGTCGCAGGTCAGTGACCCTCGCCGTGTGCCGCAGGTCAGGGACCCTTTCCATGTTCCGCAGATCAGTGACCGGGGCGGCGGAGTAACCCGCAGCACTAGCGAGCAGCTATTCCACTACATGTACTCCACGGCGCCCAAGCCGTCGCCGGCGGACGACGCGCCGCCGCTGGCCGGTACGTGTCGCCGCGCGTGACCCTTGCTCAGGACCTTGAACACTCCCTCAGGGCTGCGGCCATTTGTAATGTGAGTGTATGCTTTGAACGCTACCGGGCGGTATTGCGCGTTGAGTACTCGAACTAGGCGGTCACGTACGGAGATGTGGATGGGTGCGTCGAGGGCGTTGTTTCCGCCCTGTTTTCTGGCCTTTCCGTTCTGTTTCCTGGTGAATTATGTTTTGTTTTCGTGGAAGCGTTCGTCTCGCTCGATTTGTTTTTGTTTCGCCAGGTACTTTTGTGTCTGGTGCTGGCATAACGGTCACGTGTGTCCCTGGGTGCAGACGCGTCCTTGTAGTCTGTTTAAGTCTGCTGTCGCAGCTTGACGTCTTTGACGGGCTGACCACACGATCTGCCCGTCTGGGCGTCCAGCAGGATCAACAGGAAGCTGTGGCACGCCCGTATCTCTGCCCCGTTGTTTGTTCAGTCGGCGTCTGGTGCAGGCGCTCGTTGATGTCACGCATGCTGGCGTGTTCGACGGTCAACTGGCATTTTGCCAGCTCGCGGTGAGATCCACCGCACCGCGGAGCACAGCGCGTGGAGCTGTGACGGCGTTAGACGAACGGACCGGCGTGGTCTGCTTCGTGTGAGGGCATCGGTCTGCGCTGGTTCCAGGTTACGGCTATGGCCTGCCGCTGTCCAGACTGTACGCCAGGTACTTCCAGGGGGACCTCATCGTGAACTCGCTGGAAGGCTACGGGACGGACGCCATCATCTACCTCAAGGTGCGGTTAGACCTGCCACGCCGGCACGCCACTGCCCGTGCTCTTGTTTCCGCGTTTATGGACTGATTGGGAGATGCTGCCTTCGGCATGTAATCTGACTGCATAGGTCGAAGCTGCGCCCAGACTGCGTCAGAGCCGCGGCACCCAGCAGTACGCCAGCAGAGCCGCGCCCAGCAGTGGAGGGGAGTGCCGGGCGTGCTGTCTGATGACACGTGGGAAATCCCCTGCCGTCGCCCGGTGTCCGCAGGCAGCGGCCGGCCGGCCGAGGGACGCACGCCAACATGCCGGTCATGCCCGCACAGACTAGCCTGCAGTGCCTGTACAGACGTCCCATTGGACGAGCTTATCGGTTCTGTCAGACGAACCTCTCGTGTCCGGTCAAACGGACTGGTCAGGTACAGTCAGGCGAAAGTCTGTCCTGTCGGTCAAATTGGTAAACCACGTCCGATAGGGCGGCTCAGTCAAACAGGCTAAGCAGGGTCCGTCCAGACAGTCCGGTTAGTCCGGGTAGACGGACCAATTACAGTGGCCTGACGGGCCAGCCATCCCGGCAGGCTGATCACCCGACGCGCTTGCCTCGGCGCATCCAGACGCACAACGGAACCCGGCTGGTCACGTCTGTATCCCGGAACGGAACCTGTATTCCCCTTCTCCCCCACCCCTCCACCTATTAACTCCGGATTTCCCCGCCCGTCCCCGGCCTGTCCGACCGCGGCGCGTCCCTGACGGCCTGGCTCCCCCGCAGGCCCTGGCCAAGGACGCCAGCGAGGTGCTGCCCGTGTTCAACAAGGCGTGCGAGCGACACTACCGGAGCGCGGCGCAGGCGCCCGACTGGTCGTCGCACATCCACAGCAACGGCACCAACGGCAACGGCAATGGCGGCTTCGTCAACAGTGTGGGCTCGCCCCGGAGGGCGCGGCGCTGACGTCGGCGAGCCTAGCTGGCCGAGAACGCTGACGCCGGCGAGTCTAGCCGACCGAGAGCGCTGACGCCGGCGAGCTTAGCTGGCCGAGAACGCTGAAGCCGGCGAGCCAGCGGCGACGAGCCTAGCCGACGAGAGCGCTGCGGTGCCGAGGGCGCCGGCTCGCCTACCGACGAGAGCGCTGAGCGCTGATCGCCTAGTAGGACCGGCCAGCAGTATGGCGCCATCTGTGTGCGCCCCGCCCCAGCGCCACCTTTTGTTCAGGGCGTGTGGTCTCCTCGCGGTGAGCAGAGGTCTCTCTCGAGCCGGAACTGGCGGTGGACCGTGTTCAGTGACCAGCGCGCGCTGCTCGGCAGCGGGGGGGGGGGGGCGAACAATGACGATGGTACAGGCTGCTGACCTTTCGCCGTTTTGCATGTGGTCTGCGGCGCCGAAGCCGTTGTGGTGAGGATGACCAGGCTAGTTGCTAACTGCGCGCTGTGTAACACGGGTTTGATATCGAATGCTGTAGTCACCATGTGGCTGGGTTGATCTGAGTATGGTCGCTTTCATTCACGCCGGTCCGATGTGTGCGGACCTGCATGTGGGAAACGGTGCTCTCTCGTTTCTGCTCCAAGGTGCAGTTAACCGTAACGCAGCGTGAAGTGTGACGCATGACCAAGTGCGAGTCTTCTCCCGTCGCGCCTCGTGTGTGTGTGCGTGTGTTTGGATGCGGATGTCCGGTTTGCAGCGCTCTTACCTGATGTTGGACGACTCAGGGTGGCGCCGTCGCCTAACGGTGTTTCCATCAGGCTGTATCAATGCAATGCAATCTGTCAACCTGGCACAGCCCCTGGTGGGCAGCGTCTTGTTCGCACCAAGGCATGCGCCGGTTGGCCTCAAGCAACTGAAGGAGTGCGACAGTGACGGGTTTGGAATATACTGGGATGTAGACCAGTCACTCAGCACAGCCATGGTGTGCCGTGTTCGCCATGGTGTGTAATTTTACCAAGCCAGTGTCCGTGCATGTTAGCGGTTATGGTGTCCGCGTACAGTATAGTGTTCACGTGGCGTGTCGTGCTCGCTCAGAATATAGTGTTTGTGGAGTACGGCGTCCTCACAGAAAACCGCCTGCCATGGAGATGCGGCAGCGGGTGCTGACCGGGTCTTGAGTGGGTCTGACAGGAAGGCTTGGACGGGGTCTCGCCCTGCTGATGCGTGTCGTGAAGCATCTTTCCCGCCGGACGATGGGAGGGAAGGGGGGGTGACAGGCGTCCAGCGGATCGAGGCCAACGTTGGGGGTGGCTTTACAGTTTGTGCGCGGGCCGAACCTGCTGGCCAGTGTGTACTGTGCCCCGCGCGTGCCGATAGGGCCGTAAACCGGAAATCATCACTTCCGTCGCGACAGGCGTGACTGCTGAAGATCCGTTTTGAGTATAGCGCTGTAGCAGCGGGTCTGCGACGTTTACAAGTCATTTGCTCCACTAAATTTGCCCTAGTTGTGTTGTCAGTCAACCATTCCCTAAATCCAACTGGTGGAAAGCGAACTGCGGATCGTCTGGTATGCACTCGAGGGCTGAACACCACTTGTTGTCCATTCGCATTGCCTTCATTGGCAAATGCGAGCCATGGCCAACCCATCATGCCTATCCCGGTTCAGTCAGTTTGCCATTTGTACCCAATCGCGTGTCATTGCCTATAATACGCGATACGAACATCAGGCGTGCCTTGTTCGGCGCAGCTTATTGGGAGCTTGCGACGGCGTTGAACGTTGTAACTGGTCGAGGTGTTTGTTCGCACCTATAAGTGAGCTGACGTTGCCCACAGTCTTGAGTCGTAGCCGTGCTGGGCTACTGGCTGCTGTCCAACAATGGAAGAAGTTTCTGCACGTTTGCAACATAATATGCAAACTTACAGAACCATGATCGTCGCACGCATGCACGAGTTGGACAGAAACTGACCAATGGTCATCAAGGATTTAAACATGAAGCATGGGCGTAGTTAGGCAAAATGTGTTGGAAGGGGCTGAGCGGTGTAAAATGGCAAAACATGCCCGCTTAGATACGTCATCAACAGGGTTTTCCACAGATTTGGCTCGCTTGCTCTCCAAAATTACCATCATTACAACCTCGCCAACGCCGGGTTAACGTGGTTGCTGTTTACCAGATCTTGCACCCCGGCATTGGTCTCAATCCAGACGAGTTAACCTCGTGTTAGCCACGATGACTTTCACGAGGGTACACGCTTGAAACCTAAGCGTTGGCGCGTGTCAGAATCAATGCCTTCAGCGTAAGAGTTGTCAACGATTGAAACGCTCTTCCCCAGTATAGTTCGATCCGCTGCCCTCCGCACCAAACCAGTTCAAATTCAGGCTATCCTGATACTAGGCACATCTTTTGTACAGCATTCCAGACCAGGTTTGATGTAGTTCAACCAGTCAGGAGCTCGACAGGAACGTGTTCAATTGGCCAAGTATCCTCAATCCCGTACTCAGTAAAGTAAGGTAAGGTAAGTGGGGGGCAAGAGCCCAAGTTGTAGGGGGCATTGGAGACCCCTCAGTTGAACAGGAAGCTACACCCATGACATGGAGACTTAAATGTCATGGCGAGCTCTTTAAAGAACATAATGTTCCATTGCGTCAATAGCGCAGGCTGGTTTCCCCTAACCATATCTCAAGTGGCAGTAGTTTAAGGTCACTCAAGTGTGCATTTACGGCGCGAGAAAGATGGAGGTGGCGCCGCCCGCAGTGGCATTCTGTGGCGAGGGTCGAGGGTTTAGAACAGTACTGCACTGTCACCCTGCTCGTAAACGAAGGTAATCTACACATATTGTAAAAACGTAGAAAGGACCACTATATTTAGCCCATAGATGGGGATTTGTTATGCTGGTTCAAAGGTTCGTGGTTCTTTGGCACTGTGAGTTGTTTAGAGTAATTGGCCTCCAATAAACCTGCAGGAATTTGAACTGGTTTAACGAAGATATGAGACCATTGTGGTATAAGCAATCTCATTATGCGAACTACATGTGACACTCATTATACAATGTGTATTTTCCTGATATATGAGCATTGCAATCACCTAATATGAGCATGCTCAATATACCCAGCAATTGTATGATATGTTTGTATTACAAGTTCTGCCTGATATACTTAGTGATTAGTTGTTCTGAGCCCAAGACATCATGGGTAGAGTCATGCTATGTGTGATTAATGCATTTTTAGCATGCCTTAAATTCAGATGGAACACAAAGGTTGTGGAGTTATGTTAAAGCTGCTGGCTTATCATGCCTGCTTAATCATGTAGAAGTGAATGATGCTGTGGAATTTGGTGACCTGTTTAGATGCTGGATTAATTGTCAGTACCCTCACCGCTTGCAAGCTAGTATTATGATTCATTCACTCAGGCATTCATTTAGATATTAGAGCTTAACCAATGGAAAGACAATTTGTGCTTCGCTCTTAAAGCACCATGCAATGTGTGAATGATGCTGAGCTTCTGGGAGTGAAACCACTGGCTTGCACTTGTGTGCACAAGGCCCAGACTAGTACCCTCTGTTGAGAGGATGACAATCAACATATCAGGTATTGTGTCGTGCCTGCCAAAGGTGAAGTCAGTTGCCTCATCAGTTGATGGTGTTCACAAAAGGGCAACAGGAAAGCACCTTTTTTGGTTCAGTTTGTAACTCTTTTATGTTGGCATTGGCATCAGTTTGCCAGTTGGTGTCAGTTTTTTACATAGGTTTTGAAATGTCAGACTCAGGCACTTAAGTGTTACTTGTGAATATTACTCCTGCTCCCTAGAATTTTTCAAGTCATGATTTGGGCAGTGCTTTTCCATTCTTGCAGAATTTTTATGTTGGAATATGGGTTATTTGTTGTTTGGTTGGGTTTTGTCTCCATGTACTCATGAAGACAAAACCCAGCTTCAGCCCTTCAGTTCAGTTTGAAGCAGAACCTTACAATTGATTGTGTTGGTGATTTATCATGCAAAATAAGGTGCATTTTCCTTTAGCTGTACTTCATTTAGATTCCAGATGTCACATTTTCAACTCATTTTTTAACAAGCATGCTGGTTAGGTTTTGACACTGTGTTGTAACTCAGCATAGGTTACATAGGTTACAAGCATTTAATGTGCAATATATTACTGTTTCCAAATGTTATTGCCATGTTTTATAATTTCAGCATTTTCTATACTCCTTTCTTCCAGTATGTCAGATCAGAAACAGCAGGCCATAGAAGCATTGTCAAGAACTGCTGGCTTCAAGAATATCCACAGTGAACCAGTATGCTGCTCTCAGAACACAGATGGTGCTGCGGAGGCAGCCACCATTGCTCACTCCCAAGAGTCCAGCGTGCACGCTGGTCTCGCAGTAGCCTCGAACTCTGTCACCGCGGAGACCTCGGACCCTGACCGAGACACGCCGGCTGGGCTAGGGGACGCCGCCGTGGTGGCCGGCGACCCCTCAGATCCGGCAGCTGATCCCAGCGAGCCGCCGCTCTCCAAGAACCGGCTGCGCAAGCTGCGCCACCGCGAGCGGGCGGTGGCGGCGCGGCGCGCGCGTCGGCCAGAGGAGAAGCGTCGTCGCCGGCAACGTGAGGCGGCCGCTCAGGCGGCCGCCGCCGCCCAGGGCGTCTTCGTGAGCAAGCGTGTCAGACGACAGGAGGAGCTGGCTCGGCTGCGCGCGGCGCGCGAGCACGGTTTGCCCGTCTGCGTCGACCTGCAGTTCGCCGACGCCATGTCGGACAAAGAGCGGGCGCGGCTGGTCGGCCAGCTGGCGCGCGTGTACGGCGCCAACCGCGGCGCGGCGCGGCCCGTCCGCCTGCTACTGACCGGGATGGCGGAGGACTCGCCCCTGTTCGAGCTCTGCTGCCGCCGCCTGGACGGCTTCGCGCGGTACGAGCTGGAGCGGAGCGCCGCCGCGCCGCAGCAGCTGTTCGCGGCCGAGCGGCTCGTCTACCTGACGCCGGACGGCGAGCGCGAGTTGGAGGCGCTGACCGAGGACGAGGTGTACGTGATCGGCGGTTTCGTGGACGAGACAGTGCGCCCGGGCGTCTCGCGCACGGCGGCGGCGCGCGCCGGACTACGCACCGCCCGCCTGCCGACCGCCGCCTACCTGAGCAACGAGGCCGGCACGCGCGCCTGCGTGCTCACCGTCAACCAGGTGTTCGAGGCGCTACTCAGGTTCTGGGAGACGGCCGACTGGACGGGGGCGCTGCTGGCCGCCGTGCCACCCCGCAAGGGGTTCGTGTCGAGGAGGTGGGTGTGCGAGGAGTCGAGGTTTCGGCTCGCGTGATCGGTCCATCGTGGCTGTGTTGTGGGGGTTTGGAGTGATATCTAGTGTGATTACAGTTCGGTATCCTGTTTTCAGTGAGGTCGCCGATGCTGAGACAAGCCCTGAAGTTGCGCAGTCCGTGTCGCCATCTATTGGCGATGCATAGAAACTGCAGTGTGGACAACAGCTACCCGGACTTGGCTGAGGTGAAACAGCAGCTGTCGCAATACGGTGGCGGCTCGGTTGACCTCAGCCTGGACGATGTCACTGGGATGGCTTCACTCCGTCTCAACAACCCAGACAGGAAAAATGCGCTCAGCGGTGAGGCTTGTGGCATTGTTCTTGTTTGTGTGATTGTTGGGATATATACTTGGTAGGCCAATGTCAGAATCTGTGCCTCATTACACAAATACCGTTGATCATCACACAAATAACGGGGGCCATACAAAGCGTCATGATGACAATTCATATTTTTAACCGTGCTGCTGTAAAAAGTATGCTTCATGTTTTTTTAAAACTTATTTGTTGTTATGAATCTTTGAACATTGAACGTTTTGGTTTTATATCCAGTCAGTCAGTTAGTATCTGCCTCGTAAAACGTCTCCACGACAGCCCCTGAACACGAACACATTTTTGAAATTCCAGAGTGACCCACGCCGGGGCTTCGGCTGCCAGTGTCTCACAAGTGACGTGTGTTGCCGCTGAGTGCGGGGACGGAGGCCTGTATCTTTTGTTCTCAGACCAAAACGACTGCGTGAAAGACACCAGTCCAAATGTCTGGCAATGCTGGACGTTTCTTGCCGGATAGTGCATGTTTGGAAGACTCTCTTAGAATCCTTGCTTGCACTTTAAACATTTACATTTCAACGGAAATATTGTGTAAATGCTCATCCAAACGGTAAAATTTGATGGCGGGAATAGAATGCCGCTTGAGTTTAACTGTAAAAGTATGCTAACCTCGCGTGAAAATGGGGAAACTTGGTCGCGAAAGCATCATGCGATTTTAGCAATTTGAGTCGCCGAAAACAAAGTCAGAGACGAAATTGAGTGGACGTCAAAAACTCTGGATACAGTGAATTTGGAATGAGTGTATGAAGTAGTCCATGTGTTCCTATGGTCGACAGACATGCTGTTTTCTTCATCTGTGCACATGCAAGGTTGATACACGAACAGCATTTGGCAAGTACGTGAGAGTGCGTAAATGCTTCGGTTACGCTGATTGATGTCTTTTTTGAACCGATGTCCGTACCGGGTTATTCATGGTGGCATGCAGCTGCTGAGATGCTGACCTGACGAGCAGTGAGCCGCGGTCCCTCCCCGCCGCCGCCGACGCCTCGCCTCCGCCCGCTGTGAGCCGGCGCTCGGCTCGTCGCGCTGGTCAGGCGCCGGCTGACCGGGCCACCCTCCGCCGCCAGGGCGGATGATGGCCCAGCTGGAGGAGGCGGTGGCGGCGCTGGAGCGGTGGCCGGCCGGTCGCGGCCTGCTGCTGCACGCCGCCGGCGACGCCTTCTGCTCGGGTGGCGACCTGAGTACCGTGCGCGCCATCTCGCGGCCGGTCGACGGCATGCGCATGTCGGCGTTCATGCAGGACGCGCTGGCGCGGCTGGCCGCCCTGCCGCTGGTCAGCGTGGTTGTGCTGGCCGGTCGCGCGCTGGGCGGCGGCGCCGAGCTCGCGCTGGCCGCCGACTTCCGGCTGTGGACGGCCGGCGCGCGCCTCCAGTTCGTGCAGGCGCGCATGGGCCTACTGACCGGCTGGGGCGGCGGCGCGCGGCTGGCGGCAATGCTCGGACCGCGCGTCGCGCTCGACCTGCTCACCTCGTGCCGCCCCGTGGCCGCTGACGAGGCGCTCCGGCTCGGCCTGGCCGACGCGCTGGTGGCGCCGCCCGACGGCGACCCGCTGCAGTTCGCTCGTGATTGGCTGGCGCCGCGCGTCGCGCATGACGTGGCCGTGGTGCGCTCGGTGAAGCGTATGATCGTGAACTCGCGCGGCGACATGAGCGAACTCTGGCGGAAGGAGCGCGAACTGTTCGCGCCGTTGTGGGGCGGGGAGGCCAACAAGAAGGCGCTGGACAAAAACATCAAACATTAGCGGTAAGGTGTTGTGTTGTTGTGTTGCCTGTGCAATAAGGGAAGGATGGTGGTGGAATGATCCCGTGTGCTTTTGCTGCGTTTGTGTGCTTAACTTCAGTGGATTTAGCGCGTGGTTTCTTCTGTTATTCCCATGTACTGGTAGTCCTCTTTCAATGTCACTGGAAAGAAACCGCTCACATTGCGAAAGAATGGCGCTTTGGCTGAGAGAATGCAATTACATTGTCAGCGATTATCTGTACGGGGCGCACGCTTCGAGGCATGTCGAAAACTCGCTGGAAACGTACATATACGCTTCCACCGTGGTGTTTGTTTTTTATGAGATTAGATATGGCTCTTGTATAATAAACAGGAAACTCTGTCGTTTAGCCGGGAACCGTTGGTGGTAGACCGACAATTTCTCAATGTTCTGAATCAGCGTGGCGACTGGAAGGTTTATGTCACAATTTTTTGGTCCGGACTGGGTATCTGCGTGGAGCGGCGCGAGCAAAGCTGCCCCGGACCGCTTGAGCAAACCTGCTTCGGGTTCGGACCGCGCTAGCAAACCTGCCTCGGACCGCGCGAGCAAACCTGCCTCGGACCGCGCGAGCAAGCCTGCCTCGGACCGTGCGAGCAAACCTGCCTCGGACCGCGCGAGCAAGCCTGTCTCTGACCGCGCGAGCAAACCTGCCTCGGACCGCGCGAGCAAGCCTGCCTCGGACCGCACGAGCGAAACCTGCCTCAGACCACGCGAGCTGCCTCGTACCGCGCGAACAAGCCTGCCGCGGACTGCGCGAGCAAGCCTGTCTATTTGTCAGCATGATGCTTTGCGACATTCGTCTCCATTTTGTATCGAGTCCCGCAACAGCAGCGGTCCGCGATCCCGTTCCTGTCCCCGCCGCGATCCGTATCCGAATCCATTTTTGTTGAACAGAACAGGAACTATCCGATGGCATCCAGGACGTATATGGAGGAGTGCAAACTTGCGCGTAGAACTTGTTTCGAAACGACCCTTTTACAGGCCGAGAGCGCCGACTCTGCCATTTGAGGCTTAGCGTAGCGGCGAAGACTTCAGCTGATGCGTGATGTTATCAAGTAAACATCGGTACAGATAACATCAAACAAGTATTTGTACTCGTGGCCATTAGCGCCGTCTCGAAACGTGGAGTTTCTTTATTATGTATACCATCGCTTGCTTGATAACGACGTTTAACAGGTACATCCGGGGAGGTCGATTATTTGCAGCAGAACACATGCCTGTTCAAAATACACACGCAGCGTCGACAGTGTCCCTGGGTCTTGCTTCCAGTTTTGCGTCGCATTGATTTGCGTCGTGAGGGGCCTCCGGGTTACTGGGATCTCGACCCGCCCGCTGTCGGCAGCCCTCGAGCCAGATAGCTGACCGCAGTGCTGCACCGCGAGCACGGCAACCCACTGGCTGGTAAGCTAGTCAAGCCCCGAGGCAGGAGGACGTGGTGCCCTTTTTCTGATACCCTGAGTTGGCAATCTGGCACTGATGTGTGGCCTCCGCAAATTGTATGCTGCTGTTTGCCTTTGATTTCTATGGAGTTGGGCGTATGGTGATGTATTATTGCAATAACCTTCAGCTGCCGGAAATCAGTCGTGTCACGTCATTCCGCCACGAAAGTCAGGCCAGTTCCGATTATAAAGCTTCGCATGACGCTCTTATGATAACTGTGCAGTATGAATTGCTTTAGTACCCTGGCTTCAGCGGGTATCCCAGCCACTGTATAATGAATGGCATACGTGGTTTCCCTTCTGCGCAGTAGATTATCCCTGGTGTTGGAAGCTGCAGACTACATTACGGAAGTCGGGAGTACAGCGGCTACTTTTTCCATCTTAATTTATCCCCCGCACATCGAAGCCTGTAAGCAGCAAGCACCGATCTGTCCGTAGATCAGGTTACCCAGTGTGGGACGAGCTGACTTCCACTCGCGTGAGAGGCCAAGGAGGAAAGCCGGTGGACTCGTCGCCACTACGTGCCAGAAGTGCAGAAAACCAGCATAACTAGCGCGTGCCAAATTGGCGGCAGCTACGAAAGGACCGCTTCGGTAGCACTGGTGGCGGACCCCCGAGGGTAAAGGACGGGGGCAAACGTGATTTTTGTTTCGCTTATTTGTATGCAAGGCCGTTGAGTCACAGCTCATTTCTTCCAACGATGCGGACTACCCCAGCCCACCCCCGCCTCCCGTGCTGGGCAGATTGACACCCACCCGCTTGATGTCCCGGTACCGGCCGACCGACCCCGGCCTCCGACTTTTTTCAGGAGAGTTGTGGTGGTTTCAGCCCGCTCGCCCAGCTGTGCGGGACCGCCGCTGTCGACCTGGATGTGATCGTCTCCAACAGTGGCGGCATGACGGCACGGCTGTGCCAGCTGGCAAGTTCCTGCTCGCCATCTCTTCGCTTGGGCCAGCAGCGGCTCGCGTGCAAACTTCCACTGATTGCATCAGGTGGCAGAGTGCAGCTGACCACAGCGCCCCGTGGGCAACGGCGGCGGGATGGCACATCAACCTCGGCCCAGTCCAGCTGTCCGACTCACACTTGCGCTTACTTAGTCACAGCCGGCCAGTTATGCCGTGTGCCGGTCCCCGGGGTCTTGTCGTCGCGTCCCGCCTCGCTGGATGCGTCACTTCCGCCGCGGTGACACGCTCGCCGCTGACTCGGCGGAGCCCCCCCCCCCCCCCCCCCTCCTGCCGGGCGTGGCGCCCCGGGCCGCCCAGCCACCGCGCTCGTTGGCCGCCGGCCCGGCCGGCTGCCGGCTATCTCCGGAGTGGAGGTGCGCGCCGCGGCGGCGCGCGCGCAGGCGCCGATCGATGCGCCGTCGTCGTCGTCGGCGGCGGCGGCGGCGACGGCGGGCGGCGTCGGTGGCGGCGGCCGGCCGGCGAGTGCGCGCGCTCCGCGCCGTGCGGCAGGACGCGACATGGCCAAGCCGCAGGTGAACGGCGGCCGCTTCGACTTCGACGACGGCGGCACGTACTGCGGCGGCTGGGACGACGGCAAGGCACACGGCCACGGCGTCTGCACGGGGCCCAAGGCGCAGGGCGAGTACTCCGGCTCCTGGCACTACGGCTTCGAGGTGTCGGGCGTGTATACGTGGCCCAGGTGAGTGCGCGCGGTCGGGCGGCGTGCCGGTGTTTACCCGCCGCGGCGGCGCCCGATCGATGCCGGCGCCGCCTCCACCTGTGCGCCGCCCCCGGTCCGACTGCGGACGTTTGATGCGCGCCGCTGACCGGCCGAGGGGGTCGGCGACCGGCGCCGGACCGCCGCTGGGCGCAGCGTGACTCAGCGGCGGCCGCCGTCGCCTATTTGGGTCAGCCGGGAGCCGGCCTCCGCACGGCGAACTCAGCCGCTCCGGCCTGCTGAGCGGGCTCGTCGAACTCAGCTGACAGCACTGGCCTGGCTGAACCGACTCAGCACTGACCCGACGTGACTTAACACCCTTGGCAAGATCGGCAGTCGACCAAACACCCCGCCGGGCTAAATTTCGCTGGCCATGGGCGCAAAAGGTCGTTTTGAGGGTGCGGCAGTACCCACATCAGCGTTCATTGAGATCAGCATAGCTTAGAATATCTACACGCCCGTTCTGTCAGTTCTCCCTGACAGCATTTCCCAGTACTCCAGCCATACTCCTGACGCTCCAGCTAATCACAACGCTCTAATCAACATGCTCATGACGCTCCAACTCATCACAACGCTCTAATCAACATGCTCCAACTCATACACCACTCACCTAACGAACTCACCAGCTTGAACTCACTCGACAGGCTAATCTACCAAACTCACCTGACCGTACTTCATTCCTCTAACACATCTTTCACTCGTGGCTCCGTCCCCACCAGTGGAGCTCACCTGCCGCCTCATCGTTGGGTCGACGTTTCTGACCCAAAATCAATGCAGCTTACCTTCTGCGCACCGATACCGAGTTCTAAATCAGGCCGCGAGTGGGGAGCCTCTGGTCCTTGTCCCCTCCGACCGGATTCAGACCAGGCCGCTACGTCCTGGCACCTGGGGATGATTTCTTTGGTGTGACTCCAGCGGTCAGTTCGCTGGCACGCCGGGGCACAGCACCAGGCCGGAGCTGCATGCTCGCAGGCTGAATCCGGGAAGCAAATCGTGCGAAAGCGAGCGACTTGATATCGCTAAGTGCATGAAGCGGCAAACAGCTGTAACATAAAAACGTCAGTGTGACGCGCAAAGCCTCTGGAAGGCCGGGAAACGACGTCAACAGGATGACGTCAAAAGCAGCCAAAGGCCACATTGGCAGCGACAGGCCGCCAGCCCGGTGCGCCGCTCCGTCGGCCACCGGGGGCCCGCCGCGCGCGGCCCGAGCCGTCCCTTCTGCGAACGTCGAGGCCGGGCAGCCTCGCGCCCGGCGGCCGAGATGAGAGGCGGCGCATTCCAGCGGGGGCGGCCGGCGCGGCTCTCGGCCGGCACCGCCGAGGCCCGCGCGGCTAAAAACGCCGCCGGCGCCAGCCGCCTTGACGGCCGCCCGCAGGTGTCGGCCGTGACCCACTTGGTTCTGCGCCGTCAGAGTTCGTTTGTGACCGCGCGCTGCGGCCGGCCGAACCAAACGCCCGTCCAATCAGCTGACTCAGCGTACACGAGGGGCAGCTGCTGGTTTGGGGGATGGCTACGAGGGCTGCGCTTCGTCTGCGGACCAGGCTGCAGGCCGGGTTTGAGCGGAGATTCTTAACATCAGGCGTAGGATGACCCCACCTGAACAAAACGATATGTTCAACCTGATAGTCACAAACGTGCTCAATGTATTGCTTTCAGTTTCGTAGAAGCCAGCAGCACTTTATTCAGAAATTACGGTTCGTGCTGCAAGAATTTCGCATGCGCCTTTTCTTGTTCGATATCTTTGCCTTAACGCTGCAACATCACGAAGTTTTTGAGCCTAAGCCCTTATGCTCTCTAGTTGTAAACATCACAACATTTCTATTTGACATTTTGACAATGCGCCCAAGAAAAAAGACGATTTGTCCAACGGCCATTCAAGTCTCACCGATTATATTCTACCGCATTTTACAGCACTGTTTACCCGTCGGCCTTGTTATCAGTGGGTGAACCCAATGTACACTGTATCTATCAGAGGAGCCACGGTTGTTCAATAGAGCGTCAATGTAAACTCTAGTTTGGCACTGGGACATAGCAGCGATTGTGTTTCCCATCATGCCGTCATACCCGCCCAGAGGTGACACGAAATATTTGTTTTTCACGACATATTTAGTCGGTGCATGTGTCAAATGTGAAGATATGTTGGATGCATGCTCTGCGGCGTTTTGAAGATGGATGCGCCTTACCTTTGGACTGATGTGTCAATTACTAAAATATAATTGGCGCATCAGTCCAGATGCATCGGCCGCCAATTTCCTGTAATATACGCACCATCACGAGGTCACAAAAAGTTAAACGTAGGGAGTAAAGGCTGTATAATTAAAGTCTGAACACTTACTTCACTCATTTTAGAGAAAGCGTCTAGTAGCATATCACCAGATACAATGGTCCTTTCTTATCTACCCCATCCTTCTGTATCACCCGGGCTCATAACATCCATTGAGCTCGAACCTCAGAGAAAACGAACTGCCTCGGCGATCATCCCAACCCAGCCGTCAGCTGGCGCCGGGCCAGAGGGGCGCAGGCAGCGCCGCCTAGCGGTGAAAGACACGAAACAAGTCTGCTGTGGTCCAGTCCGGCCGAAGCAGATCCGCCCGTGGTCCAGTCCGGTTGAAACAGATCCGCCCGTGGTCCAGTCCGGCCGAACCAGATCAGCCCGTGGTCCAGTCCAGTCGAAACAGATCCGCCCGTGGTCCAGTCTGGCCGAACCAGATCCGCGCGAGGTCCAGTCCGGCCGAACCAGATCCGCCCGTGGTCCAGTCAGATTTGCACGTGACCCACTCAGATCCGCTTGTGGTCCATTCACATCCGCCCGTGGTCTTGCCCGGCTGAAACGGGTGCACTCGTGGTCCAGCCAGATTCATTCCTGGTCCAGTCAGATCCATCCGTGGTCCAGTCAGATCCGCCCGTGGTCCAGTTAGATCTACTTACGGTCCACTCAGATCCGCCTGCGGTTCAGTCGGATCCTCACATGGTCCAGTTAGATCCACCCGCGGTCCAGCCATATCCGCCCGTGGTCCAGTCAGATCCGCCCGTGATCCGGTCCGACTAAATTGGTTCGGGGTGAAATCGTTCGAGAGACCGGAAATGCGATACGGGATGTGTGAGTATCGCATATTCGCGACAGACTGCTTCCACGTGGACTGAATCGAACCCTCCCCACGATCCGCTTCAAAGAGTTGAAAGTGCAGTCATCCCAGCACAGTCTGTGACAACTGGCGTTACAAGCGGCCGGATGCAAACCGTTTCAAACTGGTTTATTTCTCGTGGCGCTCATAGATATTTTGGTTCCGTCGAGAACGACGACGTCCTCTTAGAGCCTAGCAGCAAGCACCCAACCCGGCGCAGTGACTGGCGTCGACAGCCAGCAGTTCGAGGCTCCGGCTCGCTGAACCTGCGCGGACCGCATACGTGTGCCGGACGTTGGCAGGGTCAAGCTCGCGCCACACTACCCCCGAATACCAGCGCGCGGTGGGTCGCGCCTGGCCGAAAACTGCTGCTGAGGAAGAGTTAACTGTCGTCGGGTGGCCGTCTGAGACTGACATTTAGCGCCGGCTGCGAGCCGTCGTGCGATGTTATGTGTGCTGACTGGAACACCGAGCCGAACAGGCACTCACGTGCCTCACTGTCCTGTCAGCTGTCAGCTGACTGCTCTGTGAGCGGCCTACGATCAGGCCATCTGTTCCTCAGTCAGGCCGACTGGTCAACTGACCTTTGAGTAACCTCAGGCCACGTCACCTGTTCCTCAGCCTGGTCGGCTGGTTCACTGACCTGTGAGTGACCTCAGGTCACGTCACCTGTCTCTCACACACTGGCTGGTCGGCTGATCTGTGGGTGACCTCAGGCCGTGTTGCCTGTCTCCCAGCGGTCGGCTGCCCCGGTCGCCTGTTTGGCGTGTCGGCGGGTCAGCAGTGCTTCAGCCGCGCGCCCTGGACCGGGGCCGCCTCGATCCAGGCGTCCGCCGCAGGTTCGGGGTGTCGTATAAACCCTCCGGATCAGCGGGACCGGTGTGGCTTACGGAAGGCGCAGGAGGAGCCTGCCTCCACTGTTTGAGTTGGACCAAACGACCAATCAACCGGGCTACAGTCTAGCCCGATTACCCATGGGCTTGTCTGGTGGTGTTCATTAGTGATATATACTCGCGTCACCGAATTGCCGACAAATCTCCTCACGACTTAACGGAAGAAATGATTGCTGATGGATCGGTACTTCAGATACGCCACGTCCAAGGTCGTGAGCCAAGCGTAGTTGCCCTACCTTGAGAGTGCATCCTTCACTTGGCCTTTTGCAGCGAAGTTCGCACGTGTCGTAAGAAAATGCATGCATGAGGTGTTATCATTTATGCGTTGCCTCATTTATCAGCTTAGTCATCCTCATTCGTCAAGGAAGTGGAACTCTGTACTTATTTGTTAGAACACTGAGGTGGTCTCTCTCTCTCTCTCTCTCTCTCTCTCTCTCTCCTCCTCTCCTCTCTCGCTCTCTCTCTCCTCTCTCTCTCTCTCTCTCTCTCTCTCTCTCTCTCTCTCTCTCTCTCTCTCTCTCTCTCTCTCTTCTCTCTCTCCTCTCTCTCTCTCTCTCTCTCTCTCTCTCTCCTCTCTCTCTCTTCTCTCTCTATCTCTCTCTCTCTCTCTCTCTCTCTCTCTCTCTCTCTCTCTCTCTCTCTCTCTCTCCTCTCTCTCTCTCTCTCTCTCTCTCTCTCTCTCTCCTCTCTCTCTCTCTCTCTCTCTCTCTCTCTCTCTCTCTTCTCTCTCTCTCTCTCTCTCTCTCTCTCTCTCTCTCTCTCGCTCTCTCTTCTCTCTCTCTCTCTCTCTTCTCTCTCTCTCTCTCTCTCTCTCTCTCTCTCGCTTCTCTCTCTCTCCTTCTCTCTCTCTCTCTCTCTCCTCTCTCTATCTCTCTCTCTCTCTCTCTCTCTCTCTCTCTCTCTCTCTCTCTCTCTATCTCTATCTCTCTCTTCTCTCTCTCCTCTCTCTCTCTCTCTCTCTCTC